GTCAGGAGAGACCGTATCAGCGGAAGGGCTGTCGACGACGGCGAGGACAACAGCAGTCAGCGGAAGACGCAATATCCGGTGCCCCGTGCAATGGCTATCGGGCGCTAGCTCGCGATTCTGTCACTCAAGTGGCCAACGGTCGACGAGAGAGAGCTTCCGGGAGTACGGACGACTACTTCTCAGCACCAGTGCCAATTATTTCACATTCTCTACAAATGCGCTGCGGAATAAACAATTTTTCGTTGGTCGCGCAGAACAAGAATATTACTAGTTACTGCGACCTACGTCTGTAAGGTATGCAATTTGGCATTTGCTTTGTCTAGCCCAAAGAGAAGAAAATCTGTTCAAAACATAACATATTGCAAATATATAGAGAGACCTCTAGTTAGCAAAACATTTTAAGAGTTAGGTATGCATGCGTTTTCTATTCCCTCCACAATATATTTCCAACTCCAGACCTTCCAGAACATATAATTTAATGGCGTTAGATTCAAACACCATCTTACCTTCAGATGGTAAACAATCTCTTCCTTGGAAGTGAACGCCTTGCCACACATTTTACATTCCAGGCTGCCCTCCTCCGCCGCATGCACAGCTGCGTGCTTTCGGAAGCTCAGGAAGGAACTGTACTCCTTGTGGCAGCCCTCTCGTTCACAGCGGAAGGTCTTCTTCACTGGGCTGTGCACCTTCGCAAGGACACACACCACTTTACAAGCAGGAGTGAGACATCACGCTACACTGTAATAGTGACTATGATGATTTCAACAAGATTGAGAACAAAACTACTTACAGAAAAAAAAACTGACCATTACATTAACTATTGTTACATGTCATGCTTCAGATCAAATCTCCTTTTCTATATATCAGAAAGTCCCCTCGATATTGCACACATTTAACAATCATCAATATCATTAGAACAACATCTCTTTGGGATGGGGTACATCAAACAATTGCCCTCCTTAATACAGTAGTTTCTTATGGTAACCATGAGATAAGCATACAAACTTCCCAATACTGAAATCTTGATTTTCATCAGCTACAATGATGCAGGTTACGACTGAGACTACAAATATTTCGTAAATATTTTTCAGCAAGTATGGTTTTGTTTCTTTCAGATATTTAATACCATATGGACACATTAATACCATTGTTATTAGTATAAACAACAGAAGTATAAAAAAACTATATGTCGCTAGCGAATAATTAAATTAAACCACCCTGAAATATTTTCCCCTCATTTGAGGTTTCTAGCTCCTCTCGTGGTTTGCGGAGCGCGACACGCCGGCTGGGCAGCGCGTACCTTAACGTGGTTCTTGAGGTGGTCCTTGCGGTGGAAGGTGCGGTCGCAGACGGTGCAGCGGTAGCGCCGCTCATCCGAGTGAATGAGCACGTGGCGCACCAGCTTGAACTTGGACGAGAAGGCCTTGGAGCACTGCGTGCACTCGAACGGCCGCTCCCCGGTGTGCGAGTACATGTGCTGGCCCAGCTTGCCCGGGCTGCCGAACGCCTTGAGGCACACTGGGCACACGTGGCGGCCGCCGCCGCCGCCCCCTCCGCCGCCGCCGCCTCCCCCGCCGCACCGCGGCCGTCGCCCGCCCGAAGCCGTCCCAGCCGCCGCCGCCGGCCGCCAAGCCCCGAAGGGGCCGGCACGGCCGCGGGGGGCGGCGTCGCCGCGCGAGCGTCGCCGGGGCGGGGCCCGCGGGGGGCGGAGGGGTGGCGGGGAGGCGGGCGCCAGCGCGCCGGCGCCGGCGCCCGCGGCTCTGCCCCGTCGCCTGACTAGATGGGGGCGCCGTGGCCCGCGGCAGCGGGGCGCCGGTGGGCGTAGCAAACGGCGGAAGTGGTGGCAAGCAAGGCGGCGCGGCCGCGCCTGCATGTTTCTTCGTTCTTACACGTCCTTCTTGGAGCGTACCGGCGGCGGCAGCGACTGCTCCTGAAGGGCTCGGGGGGCGGCGGCATCCTCCCGGGCCGCTTGGGCGGGGCGACGCGGGCGGCGGTGGGGGCGGGGGGGCGCGCTGCGCAGGCCCGTGGGCGCGGATGTACTGGGCTTGCGACCAGTCCGCCTACGAACACTCCACCGGCCCTCGGGGTCCGCCCACCGTCAGCGGGAACACCGGAAGGGCGCGTGGGCGGCGGCGGCGGGGGCAGGGCCTGCTTGCCGCTTCGCGGCGAGGCTTCCGGCGGCGGCGTCGCA